TGTAGGTGTGGGTCCCTGCGCCCCGCTGGCTGGGGCTGGGCTGCCCAACGGCACCACCGCTTCCCAGCAAGGGAGGCTGCTTGGGGAAGGAATGCGGGGCAGGTGCAGGGATGTGCACAGGGATGGTGACAGGGGCTGTCCAGCCTGGCCCAGCATGGCCACTCCAGCAGAGGAGGGACGCTCCCGCTCCTGGGAAGCAGGGCCACGGCATGGGGTGCAAGGATGCAGCAAGCCCTGTACCCGCAGCTCATAGCTGGACACTGCTTCCTCCTGCTGCAGGGAGGGAAGCCTGATCATGAGCACAGCTTCCGCAGAGGTGTCTCTGGGCAGGACGCCTGTGCTCAGCACCCCACCTCAGGAGGCAGTTTAACATGGCTAAAAAAAAAAACCCAAGATAAAAACCCCACCAACCATAATTTTGGGCAGTGCATAAGTAGCAGGGACAGCCTGCACCTCTCCGGTGCCAGCCCCAGGCACCAGCGGCTGATGCCAACAGCAGGACTGCAGCAGTGTGCACCACCCACACCCCTGGCACTGGGCACTGCATGCTGCGAGGGTCCCCCAGGACTGTCCCCAGTGAGGGCCTAACAGATCTGTGCAATCCCTGGGCAGGACGCGGCCACCGGGTAAGGTCAGGCACAGGAATGGGCGCAGGGGGTCTGCCTGTACCGTGCCGATGTGCCAGGAGCCCCAGGGACCCGCCAGCGAGGGGGCTCAGTCTGGCAGCAGGACCTGCTGCATGCCGGGTGCGCAGGGACCGTGCTGCAGGAGCTACTGCAGGGATTTGACAATAGCCCTCAGGGCGTGCGGCGGCTCTGGGACGGAGGGAGAGGCGCTGTAGAAGTTGTCGGTGTGATTTCTGCGCTGCTCGCGGAGGTACGGAGGGACTGATGAACTTTTGATGTGCAGGATCCTGGTGTCCATCACTTCGCAGTCAATCTGCATCATCACCTCGTAGTCCTGCCCGTTGATCACATTCTCTGCAAAAGCAGGGAAAACCAAAAAAGTTAGAGTTAGTCCTGCATGCTAGTGAACCAACAGCACTAAAAGCAGAGTTTTCTAGACTTATTTTTGTCTGGCACAACAGCTGGACAGGGGAAACCCCCTTACTTTTTGCAGCTCCACACATGGAGCTCCATCTCGCACAGTGCAGCCCCCGCCTGCTCGTTGCACCTCAAAGAGCCCAGGCCATGCTCAGCTTGTGCAGTCACACCTAGAAATTAATGGCTTTTCTTTTCCCCTTCTTCATCTGCACATAATTACTGATGGTGTTTGAGCTGCATAACTTTTTATTACTGAACTGTTGTTCCTGAGCCAGTAAAGCGTAGGGATGATTGAAGATACGGCTTATTTGAGCAAGCTGGATGTTTCACTTTCTTTTTATTAGTTTAAGAATACTGTAACCCTCTTGACACTGGGGGATCTAGAGGAATTTCTTCACCAGCTTATTAATAAAGAAGTTAAAATGCGATCTCTCAAAAGAATTAACTGTGCCTCATTACCATGCTGACCTGGCTGTGGCACTTGCATGACACTGTGGTGTGACACTGGACAAGGCCATTACTCTGGAGAGGTCTCTGGACACGGGGAGACCCAGGCCAGCACGAGGGACCCCGGCACAAAGACACACCAGGATCATCCACCCCAGCCCAGCCTCACGCCAGGCACGTTTGCTGCTGCAGAAGCTCCTGGGCTTGCAGGCAGAGGCCGTGCACACGGCCAGCATCTGCTGCCTGGATTTGAAGGTGGGAGAGTATTCCCTGCATAGACAGAGTGTCCAGGAATGCGAGAGCCGAGATCGGATTTCCAGGCATGACCAGTCCTCGCCTCTCGGAGTCAGCAACGCTGACTGCCATTGGCAGGCTGTTCTTTCTGCACTAAGGAGGATGGAAGATCACCTAATGGAAAGCGTATGGATTGGAGGAATGCAATATACATTACTAATTTTTACTGTTTTCCTGGATTAACTCTGACTCTGGATGACAGCTGACAACGGCGGCCGGCCCCTCTGGTCCCCCCCGGCACCTGTAAAAGCCATTAGATCAAGCATGTCTGGTATTGTAATGAAAAGCAGCAGCAAACCCTTGCTCAGGGGGCTGAGAGCCTGCAAGGGAAATCAAAGCTCCCACCTGCAGAAATGAAATGGAAAAAGCTCCGTATGTGCCACTGAGCAACCGAGGCCAGAAGCAGCTGTGCATGTCTCTGTGCCACTGATCCAAACACCCCGACAAGCGCCTTGTCCCTCCCGGCTGCAGTGCTGCTGGTAAAGCCCTGCCATTGCCTCAGGTGCCGTGTCCCCAGCTGGGACTCTTCCTGAGGCCATCCCTCCAGGTCACCCCTTCTTTCATCCTTTGGTTGCACTCGTGGTTCTCACCCGACAGGCTCAGGACTGGATGCTGGAGAGGGCTGGGCTGCGGCGCTGCTCAGGACAGGGGCTGCATGGGGCGGCTGGGGGCACAAGGAGAAGCTGGTGGGGGCAAGAGCCTGGCCTTCGGGCTGGAGAGAGCAAACAGGAACAGATGGGCTCCCTGTGACACAGCGAGCTGCAAACGCAGCTCCTCAGCTCTCACGCTGCAGACAGAAGCTCAGCAGGACCCTGGCTATGGGAGAAAGTGTGCTCCAAAGCCACAAGTGGGTAAGGTGGGACGGGACGGCAGCCAGGGCCAGGAAAACCTCCTGGGGAGGCAGGAAGCCTTTCCCGCACCCACTGCATAGGCCAGCACCGCGGGCTGTCGTTAGGTTCCCCGGCCCTGTGCGGTGCGGAGGAGAGCAGCAGTCCCAGGGGCAGCCCCTGTGAGGGTGCAGCCAGCAGCACCGGATCAGTTGGGATCGCGATTCCCCCAGCGCCAACACAGGCTCCCCCCACGACTAAGTGGACCACAGCCCTGCTACCCTCTGCAAGAGCTGCTGTGTCTCCTGGGAACCACACTCCCAACAAGCCTCTGGGGCCAGCAGGCACAGAGGGGACTCATGCACCCAACCCCAAATCCTGCCCCATGTGTGCGAATTAGCACAGAAGCAACATTCAGGTTTAAAGACAGGTATCTGATTCCTTCCGCTCTTGGGCTGAAGACACCATCGATAAAGAACTGCTGCAAAGGGTCTCCTTGCACAGGGCTGAGGATAGTTGCAGGAAGGGCTCCATTCCCACTACAGACACTTCTAGCAGTCTCTCATCACTGTTAGCACTGAAATGACTCAGAAGAGGAGGTGGGATTTTCTGCAGAGACAGCAATTCCTGCTCAGCAATGCTGCCGGGTGCCTGGACCAGCTGGGTCCAGAGGAGCAGCCTGAAAGCTGTGCCAGCCCTGGGACGCCTGGCCACCACGGTAGAGCCCTGCCTGGCCCAGCCCAGCCCAGAGCGTGGAGGGACCGATGCTCCGCCGCAGCCCACGTGATGCTCGCAGCAAAACAAAAGGCAAACGTGACCTGAATGCAGCTGGCGCAACCCATGCTTGGAAAGACTGTCAGAGGGGCAGGCACTGCAAAAATGATTCCACATGGCTCCGTCCTGAGCTCGATGCCATTAAAATGTTTCACGATCTGGATGAGGAATAGAGAGCATGCTTATAAGATTTCTGGAAGATGCTAAACTGGAGAGATTTCAACCACCTTGGAGTATTGGATTAGAGTGCAGCTTCGATAAAAGAGAGAAGCTGTCCAAAATCTTCAGGATGTGTTTCAACCAAGGCCAGAGCAAAGTATAATTCTCAGGAGAACTGGAAAACACGAGTACAAAATGGGGCTGAGCAGAAGCACTTCAGAAGAAGCTCAAGGACTGCAGAGGATCACTGTGCATAAGCCAGCAGCATGACAGGACTATAAATGATCAGATCGATTTCAAGAGAAACAGATTCATCTCTGACCAAGTTTCTAACAATAAGGAAATATAAGCCCTGGATGAAGCTACCTCAGGACACCAGAGGGTCTTCATGACTGGCAGTTGTTACGGAAAGGCTGGACAACCCCCCCATCAGGCAAGACCCGGGGTCCCAGACCCTCCCTCCGCACAGGCGCAGGCGCAAGCAGTTGCTGGTGGTCCCCCCCCGCCCATGCTGCAGGTGCCTGTTCACAACTGAGCCCCTCAGGGTAGACTGCAACCCACCATCACAGAGCCCAGGGTCACAAAGAAGCCAATGTACGTCACCCGAGCTGTGATGACTGTCCGTTTGCTCCTTGTTTGTGACACAGACAAGGCAGTGCAAATTGGGTGAAGCCCTTTCAGTGAGACTGGAGCTGTTTGCTGCAGGGCAGGGGGCACATGGCAGTGAGGTCTTCTACAAATAGCCTGGCCAGGTTTTCTTTCCTTCCCCTTCCACGGGGCCGTCCAGCAACACCACCACCTGGGAGACACCAGTGGAGGAGGTGGGTTCTCTGGATGCCACCATGGGCACTGAGCAGTCACGGCAGTCGTGTGCGGGTGGTCTCTGGAGGGGTCAGTGCACGTACCCAGCGCCGTCTCTCAGCGCTCAGGCCAGCCGTGCACTGCCCTGCCTGCCCACACACCCATCACACCCTGCAGCCCCCTGCCCCAGCGGGCACGGGCGGGGGGTCTGCAAAGGTAGGACCCATGGCTCAGAGCTGCTGCCACTGCTCTTTCACCGGCTGGAAGGTCAGCACTGCCAACCCACGTTACACAGGGCTGTTTAACAGCCCAGAGTAACAGCAACACTGAATTATTTCTAAAGTTTATTGTGTTGAATCACCTATGACTGATGTTTTGTGGGATTACATAAGCGAAAGCACAGGAATGGATCTCCTGTAGAGGGGTCTGGGTTTATAAATGGATTTATTGCTCCTCTTTGAAGTTCAGAACATACAGCCATTTATCGGGCCTCAGGCTTAAGAAGCTGTCCTTCCCAGGCCAAAAGGCTGTGCTGCACTTAATTATTTGTTAACAGGTTTAAAAGCCATGCTTCAGATGATAGACTATTTCCAATTAACAGCACAGGTGACTGTGCCAAGCGTTGCTGTTCTCTGACCGCACCTGCCCAAAGAGGCTCACTGTCTCCTGCAGGCTGCACTGAGCTCCCAGCGCCAGCTTGGTCCCGGGAACAGAAGCAGAATTCCCCAGTGCTGCTCTCCAGGGTTGACGGCACCTCCTCTTAAACACAAACACGTCGCAAGACCCAACTGATGAAAGCTGAAGTCAGCAGTCCAAACCAAAAATGTTCAGCAAATAAGACTGAGGGTAATAACTACCACTACAAATTACCCAAGATGGTGAAAGATTGTCTTCATATTTGAAGTACTAGATTTTCAGAAGTGGTTTATCAGAAAGACTATAAAACCAAAGTCCTCCTTCTCCCCTTAGTAGTACTGACATGTACCAATCAATCAGTTGAATGTTCAAATGTTCATCTTTCAGATTAAGCATCTACTTCTACAAGAGGTACTGTCTTAGAGAAAGGCAGAAGACAGGCAGAGGGCTTGGGAGCCAGGCAATGGAAATCTGTGTCGGTTCTGCCGTGAGTCAGAACAGATGGTGAAGTGACTTGTCTCTCTAGACTCAAACTCCATACATGTCAGTGGGCTGGCTGGCTCTACGGATGCAAAGGACAGGAACAAGTTATTCTGGTAATTTACCCTTTCCTACTCACATGCACCCTCCCCAAAAAGCTCTGCTGCAGGAAAATGCTTCTCTTGAAAACTGCACAATTTGCAGACAGGCTGCAACAGAGGTCCCGTGAAACACCACACGACCTCGTGAAGTGCTTCAGGGCTGTAACCGACCACCATGGAAGAGCTCTGCAGCTTCTGACGATGTGTTCATGCCTTAGGTACATCGACAGAGCCTTGTTCTAACAAACCGACTGTGAATTTCACCCTACCCCTGGCAGTCCCACGCTGGACTACCCAAAAAATACTCCGTTGAGACCAATACTGTATAATCCAGGGCCTGGGCCACTGATTTTACATCCCCCAATCCTGAGACTCTTCTCTAAGGTCCCAGCTGCCTTTGCAGTCAGTAACCCACGTG